TCTAAACTATTTTTGACTGCAAAAAATCAGTAAAAAGTGGTTTCACCTGATTTAAAATTTTAGCAATCAGTCTAAATTCATACAAAGTTAAGATTAGTTAAAATTACCAGGAAATCATCAAAAATGTGTAAAGTTTACGTAATTTGTCCATATAAAAATTATGACACTCTTTTATGTGGGGCTCCTCTCATCGGAAAGATGAGGAATACCCACATAAATAACCCCTGAGCTCCGTCGATCGCCTTAGTGTGAAGAACTATGGGAATCCGAACAAAGTCAGTCACAGTCTGTGCCAGCAATTGGCGGGCCCTGCCTATCCGACGGTGGTGGTAGTCTGTGCCATGTAGGCCCCAGCTTCTGACCATCACCGTGGAGGGTGGAGAGGAATCAGTGGGCCTAGGATGCGTGCCGTTTTGACGTCGATAAGTAAGAATAATATCACGGCGCGCCAGGAGCCCAGCAGGAGGCGATCATATTGTCACCTCCTCTGACCCCTCCGCCGTCGAAAATTATGACATTGCTTTAATTTTTTCTCATAATCAAAGAAATCGCATTTCTCAAGAAGTTTAAATATATTTATCCCTTTAGAAATCTAGATATTCTTATTTAATTGAGAAATTTAGATATTATTCTTCAGACAAGTAGGTATTAGAATGATCGGCATTGCCGACTAGTCGGCCGAATAATCGGCAATTTGAAAACCGATTAGTCGGCTAGTCGGTTAGTCGGCAAAGACCATAGTCGGCCCATCACTAGATGTAGCCAAATGTCTACACCATGCGTTTGTATGCCGTAAAATTGTTCTATGGTTTGTTTATTTGGTTTTTCTTTTCAGCATGTTTGGCTCGCTATCTGAAAAGGAAATTGAGGCAGCTCTTGCTGCTTTAAATGATGGTGCAGTCTCAGAAGATGATGAAAATTAAGATGATGATAACATCGATTATTACCCAAACGTACGGGATTTGTTGCATGATCGGGATGAGGAGTCCATAGATCATAATCTACCCTTGGAACATAACGAAGACCCTGGAACATAACCCTCCCATATTCTATGAAGAGGAGCATATATTAGATCAGATCTTCGTTATGTTCCAAGGGTAGATAATGATCTATGGACTCCTCATCCAGATCATGCAACAAATCCCGTACGTTTGGGTAATAATCGATGTTATCATCATCTTAATTTTCATCATCTTCTGAGACTGCACCATCATTTAAAGCAGCAAGAGCTGCCTCAATTTCCTTTTCAGATAGCGAGCCAAACATGCTGAAAAAAAAAAGCCAAATAAGCAAACCATAGAACAATTTTATGGCATAAACGCATGGTGTAGACATTTGGCTACATACACAAAAATCAAGTCGAAGGCACATTCGGGATAGATTACCAAAAAAATAAGTTATAATAATGAATTCTTACATTATTTCTAACACGTATGTATTTTTTTCCAATCGTTTTAGCAATTAATTCTCACTGAATCCGAAATTCAAATACCACAAATTTTAACACTACCAATTTTTTATCTTTCGCAATCGCTACGTCAAATATCGTTTTTTTTTTTCAAATCTACCTTCATTTGCGTTTTTTTTATTTTTATTATGATGTTTTCTATGATATTAGCGTACGTTCAGAAACGCTTATAAAATGTGTTACTTTTTATAATTAAAAAAGTACTTCGTAGACATATGGCAACACTATGCATTTAAGGGTTAAGCCTTCTCAAACGATGCAATCGTGAATAATTAACTTAAATTTTTATGACTATCATTGTAGTGTCTATACGTGACATTATTATCATACTAAATTGAAACAATAATTGTAAAACGGTAAGACTTGATTATAGCATTAATTATTTATTGCTGCGACATTAATTTTAATCTTGATTGAACCCATTTTTACTACCTATAAAGAGATAAATATTAAGACTGATACTATCTAATGATAAAATAAACATATTAAAAATAAACGTGTTATGTTTGGCTTCATTGAAGTCTTTTCTTGATATAATCAAATGATCTTTGAATATTTAACGAGAAGTTGGATTTTGCACATGCCACGCTAGTAATATTTTGTGAAATAGGCTTACCTACATAATTCTACTTTACTTACAGCCATGGTATCAAACCTTTCAAGGCGTTTGATACAAAATTAAGGTTACACAACTTCATGCACGTATATCGATCATCAGACTTTGGAATATAATCCGCTTATCGGTCCACATGATTTCAAGTGACACTCCTGGCAGCGATAACATCGTGGCTTAAGTCGTTTCGATGATTGGATTTCATATTTGATAACGCGCAAATTATCATATATCTCAAAGTGTACTTGTTATCGTACTGATAACAGTTAATACAAGATTATCGCGGAATTCCTGCGCCGAATGATCCTCAAAACGTACCTATAAGTTTATTTAATATTTGTTGTTACAAGGAAAAAAAAATACATGCCTAAACAGAATTGCCTTGTGTATTTGGATGATTTAGCAATCTTATCAATAACATTTTGACAGCATGAAGTATGTTTGTCATGATATTACTGCAAGTTAATAATTTTCCTGTAAAATTGTTACATGGGATTATGTAGAATATTCCGAGAATAAGCATTAAAGTCTGTTATCCAGTAATAGTGTGTAGAAGTAAATGAATTTCAGTATTCAAGTCTTGTGCAGGAGTAAGACCTTCTCTTAAGTTATTAGATGCAAAATGCAGAGTTTGTGCTACAACATCTGTCAAATCCAGTATAAAAATGCCACCAATGAGGGCTATCGTTTTAGCGCTCACCAGTTAGCGCCACTGTAGAGTAAGGTCCTGTCACTTGCTAGTAGCGAAGACTGTGGCACCAACTGGTGAGCGCTAAAGTGGTAAGAGGACTATCGCATTTCCACTCATCAAGATGGCGCCACTGTAGAGTAAGGTCCTGTCAATCGCCAGGGGTGCCAACTGTTAAGTATAAAAACGATAGCCCTCATTCTACTATAGTTGAACGATTCTGAAACGTCAAGTGTCTAAAATCTGAACTAATACCCCAGTATTGATAATAAAGTAGCGCCCTCCTGTCAACAATGTCATAGCTGGGACGGTTCAGAATCGTTCAACTATGTACAAATTGCTCTGCTTACGAATACATATTTTCTCATGTTGAATGAATGAAAGTTACAAACATAGTAAATTTATAGCTGATGTTTGCACTTCGTTGAAGTAGCTACCTATCTATTCGAGTGCACATACATTGTTGTTATCTATAAATGGTTATTGTTAATTATCAAGCATACTTGACTTTACTACGAGTATAACCTACAAGTAATTGCAAGAGCATCATCTTATTATTTCCTGATTCTAAGGAATTATTTTATATCGTGAGCAATTTACATAATGTAAATAACGAGACATCGTATTTGCATTTGCTAGTTCGCGCTACTAGCGTATAAGTTTAGTTTGTTGATTTTCACTGGATTGGTTAGTGGCGCCATTTGCAAAACCAGCAGTGCTTATACTACAAATAGGAAGCATATTGTATTTTCTATTACATGATAAATACAAGTTTATAAACGAGACACATCATACATAATTCTGTAATCTTACCTTTCATAAGACTAGCCTACAGTTTAAACTGTCAAATTACTTGTGTAATGTTCTTCAATACGTTTGTAACTAAAATATTTAAAGCAAATTTACTTCCAGTAACTTCATTTACTACTCGCATGCCAGTCCATTATCGCGCAGTTATCAAAATAAACACTCATGACGAATTAATATCATAAATACTGCTTAGTACTGATAAGCATAATCTGAGATTTAGATAATAACCGACGGTAAACTGGTATACATAGATAACTGTCTGGGTGCATAGTATGTCTTGGTTTTATACCTACAACGTAAGCTGAGTTGCACCACAACTTTAACGGTAACTATGAACGGTAACCTGACTTAAGGTCCTATGTCCCCTAGATGGGGCAGAGGGCGTCCACAACAGTCCTCCATCGCGTTCGGTCTTGAGCTTCGCGTTTGATCTCGCTGCAAGTTTTGCCGATCTTCTTCGCCTTGTCTGCCACAGTGCGCCGCCAAGTTTGCCTGGGGCGACCACGTTTGCGTTTTCCTTGGGGTTCCAATCCAGAGCCTGCTTGGGGATGTGATCGGGATCCCAGAGTGTGGCCAATCCAGTTCTTGATTCAGGCGCTTGATCTGCTGGTCGATCGGAATTTCGTGGCAGCGTTCCAATAGCTCGACGTTGGAGATTTTCTCAGGCCAGCCCAGAACGATAACCTGACAAATGCTTTTTGTATGGAATTTGACGGATTTTTGACGTTTGTCAAAGTTAAACTAAGATGGTGCAACCCAGCCTTAGTTTTTGTTGTAACAGGTGTTAAAGTACATACGAGTGACGAGTGTATGCAGGAACTTCTTTATCACTGTGTTCCACTTGCCTACAAGTTTTATAGACTGTAGCTTAAAGAAGCGGTTTTATACCTTTTATTATTCAAGATCGTTACGTTTTTGGGTCTATCCTTTGAGGTTATTTAGAAATACGGAAACTAAAACAGGGAATTGACTCGTTGAATGTTATGAATGATACTAACCAGTGGCGTAGCGTGCCTTAAACGGGCCCTATATCAAAATTTGGGGGCCCCATCAAAAAAGGTCATTTAGATCATGGAGCCCTTTTCATCTAAAAAAGAGCATTGGAAAATTAAAGAACTTCCCTAGNAAATTTTGGTCGTGGGCTCTCGTACTATAGGCCTATGCATAACTCTGTCTATTCAAAAAAGTCTGGCTCTGGAGCCCCTGTATTGTGCCCCTGGGGGGCCCGTATCATTGATACCGCAGATACGACGGTAGCTACGCCCTTGACTCTAACCCCTGACTTCTGCCAATCTGTTACATACTTCAGGTGGTACTCCAGTTTTTAATCAATTGAGCCATAATTCCATTTTCGTGATTTCGTACTGTTTGTGTTTTCTTATAACCTTTCTATTTAAATAACCCGCGTATTTCTTTCACAGATGCGAGGAGTGCCAGCGAACGAGCGAATGTACACATTACGGACGCGGCCCCCCTCGCTCCTCCCACCCTCCCCTCTTTCCCTCGCGTCGTCCGGCGACAAGTCGTCCCTCGCTGCGGCCACGCACTCCCCCTCCCTGGAAAGGCCCGCCTCCCAACCCCCCGCGCCCCCCTCTACCGCGTCCTTCGTCTGCTACGTGTGCGGAGTCTCCGCCCCCTCGAGCCAGTTGCGACTGGTGTACTGCTGTCCCAACCCTGAGAGGGAACCCTACTACCCCTTCATTACAACGCTGAAACCGCACTCGGATGCCAGCCCTATTAGTCCACAAGGTGAGTGTTTTTTTGTTTTGATGAAGGAAGTATGCTATGCGGATTTTTTACTTACTATGGGCCTCATAAGAAGGCTTAAGGTCACCCAAAGGGTGATGGACCGGGCTATGCTCGGAGTTTCCCTGCGTGATCGAATCAGAAATGAGGAGATCGCAGGAGAACCAAATGGACCGACATAGCTCGCAGAATTGCTAAAATCAAGTGGCAGTGGGCGGGGCACATAGCTCGTAGAGACGATGGTCGTTGGAGCAGAAAAGTTCTTGAGTGGCGACCAAGTGCTGGAAGACGTAGCGTGGGCAGGCCTCCTACTAGGTAGACCGACGATCTGGTGAAGGTCGCGGGAAGAGCCTGGATGCGGGCAGCGCAGGACCTTTCATTGTGGAAAACCTTAGAGGAGGCCTTTGACCAGCAGTGGACGTCATTCGGCTGAAACGAACGATGCGGATTAAAAAAAAAGATTATCTATAAATTTGCTATTGCCTAAATTTCTAATAGTCCCTTTAGCCCCTAGTACTAAGCTAAATATGCTTGTGTCACGCACGAGTTAGCTCACCACAATAGGGACCGAACCCGCGTTACCCGGATCACGAAATTGGCCAAGATGTAATAGTGTAAACACCATCTCGGTTACTTTTTCCTTCCCCCAACCGTTACTAAGTTACTAAAACATATTTCAGACAATACAGAGAAATGACATATGTAGGTAGTATTTATTTATTTAGTCTCGATTGTCGGAAAGGCAAGGTGCAACTAACTAAAGATATGCAAATTAAGATTTGTTCTGAAATATTTTCAGCGCCGTGTTGAATCTTACAGGGCAGATATGTACCATCCTAGACTGCATCTCACTTAACACCAGGTGCGATTGCGGTCAAATACCTGCCTTGTCATGCATAAAAAATATGTTAAGAGCGTTGTAGCAAAAAGTTGGCGTTCGAATTTTAGGTTTTTATTGCTTGACGTCGCGTAGTGAGTGCGCAAACTGCATTTATCTGTACAATTTCAACGCTGCGTCGACTAAACGATCTTAATCCGTAGTTGTATCGTACCTAAGACAGTACATCATACATAATAATAAAGAAATAATGTATAATTTACCTATTAGATTTTTTCTCAGATCAGACTTTTAGCAAAATCAAGTTACGTAATTAATGTATTTTTTACACTAGTAAATCCCGCGACAAGTTTTTAATCTTTAAATTGAGTTAAGTAATAAGTTGATGGGTTTGAAAGAATTTATGTTTTATTTTATTCTTTTTACAGCATCAAAAGCTTGTTTATGAAAAATATTTACTATTTAAATTTTACTTTTGACTTTTTAGTTTTTATGATGCGGGATGGAAAAATTGAAATTTATTCTGATTTTGTGACGTTTCCGCACATAAATATGGATAGGTTAAATAAATAGAATGAAATGTATGAAAACGAGCGTGCCATTTTTTAAACGTTATCTATAATATCTGTGTCCATCAAAGAGCTCGTAACTAAACATCGTAAGCGCCATTCAAATTATTATCTAAAAGTTAATAATAAATATTTAGTTTTTGTAAATCTAAACAAGTCAGGAAATCAAAGAGGTAAATACTGATATCATTGTGATTTTATAGAATTTATTATTATAAACCACGGTCGTATAATGCTAAAAAATCAGAGGTAACTTTAAGATTTTTATCCATAGAGCAAAATTTATCTAATCGTGTTTTTAAACAGTTATCCCATTAGGTACACATGCGTTCTGTAATACAAACCCATCAAAAACAATACTTGTCAAAAAACCAAGTCTCACTACTCAGTTGTTCTACGGTAAAAAGTTGTGAGATCCATGTAATACCAAGTCCAGTCCAGGAAATCATTAACGTTTTACATAAATATATTGACTTGGCCATCGCATGAAAACACGTGTAAATTAAATTATTTAGTGCGAAATGAAACGAAATTTTGCATGCCTGTGTAGACATGCAAAATTTCAGCTCAATGGGAAAACGGGAAGTAAGTAAATTTTAAGTTGCAAGATTTTACAACTCCAGATGTCAAAGAAAATAAAAGCTTGTAGATAGCTTTACAAAGAAAAGAAAGATTTATGAAGAAAATAAAAAGTACTGTCTACGATACATTTGTTAGGCCGTGTTGCACCGTCTTACTTTAACATTGACATCAAAATTTTGGATGTCAAAAATCTGTCTAACATAAAACACCGGTTATTGTCAGTTAGGGTCAAAGTTAGGTGGTGCATCTCAGCCTTAGTGTATTTTAATTAAATTTAATACAAATAAGGATGACGAAAATAATCGATAAGTGATCTCACTCGAATATTTCTTATAGTAGGTATACAAGATGTCGAACAAATGGTTACTTACTGAAAAAGTGCTTCATGAGACCTAGCAAACGGCATCAATAATATGTTTAAGAACGAACTGAATCTATTCAAAAAACCTATATTTCCAGCTTTCATACATTTAATACAGTTACAAACAAACACGAAATCAATGGTTTCTGAGAATTCTGAGTGCCTTAATGCCGTCCCCTTTATCTGTTTATTTAGTATTTATTAATTAGTATCTCTTGATGATATTGTAGCAAGTTAAACCTAAAATCATGTTTTCCGTAAATAATTTAAATAAGAATGCAATTTACGAGTTTGTTGTTTGATTATTATATATTACTCAATTAAAAATTTAAATTTAAAAAATTAACACTTCTAATATGGTAGGTATGGCTGGCGGCATACATTTAGTATGAAATTCGGAAACATTGAATTTTCGCATAGATCCAGTTTATTCTTTGACCTATTTATTGTTATTGTTTTAAAGAGCTCATGAAGCACTTACAGGAACAGTAAACAGTTTCTCGATATCTTGTATAATTAAAAATCAAGTGAAATCACTTATCGTTTCCACCCTGTACCTATACTTTTAAAAATAAACTCATTTTATACGTTCATTTGTATAAGTATCTACAATACAAATACCTAACCAACTTAGTTGACGTTTTATAAAACTATTTGTCTAAGTGTCATCGAGCGACCGCTGGTGGATTTGCCATTTACCTGACCTACCCCTTTATTACTAAACGTTTAATATCAGATGAATAGTTACGCACCAATTTCTTTCATTCAGTCGTCAGTAATTGAACTTTCGGAAAAACATGACGAAGCGTTGTGTGACCATACAGACGCTATTCAACTTTTATTAGTAAGGAAGAGTATATTTTATGTTGGTAGAAACACAATAGCATAGACTAATGTTTTGACACCCTGTTAAAATTTTTATTAGTCATTTATTTTTTCCTGACCAAACAGATACCATAATAATATCTTTTATCTATTCTACCCATATTCTGTAAGTAAAATAATAAAAAGTTTGAAAAGAAAGAAATTACAAGTCCGATTTACCTAAACAAATAAATTAAAAATACTTGCGGATCAAAAGTACTCAATCATACTACAATTTACGAAAAAATCACGCGTGACGCATATACGTCAGTGGGCAGTCAACTGACATAGACCCGGCGTCTACGAGTGCCAAAGCACGACTGATTTATGCCATTTGATGCACCCGATTTTATAGTATTTTCAAATTAATTTTTCATTTGAAGATTGAAGATAGATATTTTTTCTTTTTCACACAATAATAGTACTATGTTTCTTCTTAAGTATAAAGTAGTTTATGTTGCCAAATGACTTTTAGATTATGAGATGTGACCTGTTTTCTTGCAGTAATTTTCTCGAATTTTGACTATCTTAGACATGATAAAAATGCATTTTAATGAATTAAACATCAAAATTTTCTCAATACACTTTCTTCTTCAGGGTATGCTTATTCTAATGAATACATTCTATCTTCTTACTTAGAAATAAATTTGTTGTAATATTAGTTCAAAGTTGTGCCTTCGCGAGTTACCTGGAAATCGGGCTTTCGAAATTCGCTGTTTTCGTAGGCAAAAATCCAATTTGAACGAGATTTTGTCAATAGACATTCCGTAAAAACGTATGATAATTACGATGATATAAGTCAAAAGAAGCTATAACAATAAATTATATGACTAAAATCATTTCGAAATCTGCCAAATTCTCGATTTCTGCATGAAAAATGTGACAACGCTCTTAAATCAAATCAGTCTGCTTTAGATTCTCACAGATTGTTATATTTATGTGTAAATTTCTTTATGTGGGCACAAGTGCATTTGAAATAATGGGACTTCGGGGAAACTATGAATCGTGTTTTTGAGCAAAGATATTTTTAAATAATTAAATTAAATACTATACACAAGTTTTAGATGCTACCACATTATCATCATTCTTTCTTTTTTTATGTCATCGGGCTAATAATTTGTCCAACTAAGGGTGGATTGGACTCGACCAAACAAGAGTAAATATGAATCTCAGAATAAATCGTCAGTTATTCGACATTTTGACATATTTCCCATACTGAAACTGTCAATGTGCCAGTTATACCAAGAGTTATTATCGGATAAAACTTTAGTCGAATCGGGCCTAAAAGGAAAAACTGGTATTTATTGATAACAAATAAATTGCTATATAACTAACTGAGTTTCTTCGTAAAGACGGTCTAAAAGCATTAACATTAGCATTAATTTGACTATCGCCTATTTGTTAGCACGTCAGATCGCATATACAGTTCCCATAGCAACTGATGCACGCGGTAAAGGAATTCACACAAAAGAATAGCGCTAATAGAAACTGGCAGTCCTGCTAACAAATGAAGCAAAATAATATTGAAATATACGATTATACATATAGAACCTCACTATAAGTAAATCTATATTGAGATTACTGACACATTAAAGCTAATAATTAACTTTTTTTAAAAATAAAACCGACTTCAAATGCGTGAACACAAAAAAAAACTAAAAATTAAAAATATTGCGTATAAAAAAGTTCATCCCCAATTTTCCACCCTTGGGGGTGAAATATTTTCTTCAAATTCGCATGAAACCACCCTTTTGATAATACCTATTCAACAAAAAAATAATCGTTCAAATTGNAGATATTGCGTATAAAAAAGTTCATCCCCAATTTTCCACCCTTGGGGGTTGTTTTTTCTATTATTAAATTTAAATGGGACCACCCTTGAGGTATTACCTATACGCCGAAAAAAGATTTGTTCAAATCGGTTCATAATTGGCGGAGTTATCGCGTAACAAACATAGAAAAAAAAAAACATACGGGTCGAATTGAGAACCTCCTCCTTTTTTGAAGTCGGTTGAAAAAAGGAACATCATTCATTTTGTCTAATGGAGATATACAGGGTGGCCAGGGAGTTGACGTTCAAAGTTAAAGTTGGCGAGCACTTGTTTTTACTTACTTACGCCAGAGAAGCTTCCAGAGTGAGAAAAACATTAAAAACCAACAATAAGTGATAGTTAGGGATAAATCACAAAATTAACTCTATCTCATAAACTAAGCAAAATCGTAGAACATACATGGGGGTGATTTAGACCTTGATGTAAGGAATCTAAATTTTAACTTTGAACGTCGACTCCCTGGCCACCTTATAGGGCGATTTGATGAGTAATAAGGAAGAGGGTAACACAATATACCCCGATAGGATCGTTATGGCGCTGCAACTCCTGTGTAACCAAGTTTTCTACAGCTTGACCACCAAAGGCCAATTTGTTCTTGGGAAATTCTTTCGATAGATGAGATAAGATAATTTTATAAGATTTTCAAATTCAATGTCGCTCAATTACTTGCTAGATTACATATCACGTGAAAGGCCGTTAAATCTGTTTCAATTGATTTATTGACATCTATCCACAAAATTGCCGAAGTCTATTGGCGCATTCTATATGCAGGTGTCCGTCAATGACCAGCCTTCACGGGCGAGCCCGCATGCGTTTGCGCATGAACTTGTTGACGTTAACGGTTCGAATATTTAGAAGATAACGAATGAGGGTACTCCGTGACGTCAACGATGACACAGATACTATTGCGGGTATTCGGGTAGGCTGTGACGCGAGATAAGTGGACTCTTGTGATGTTTGTGATTGTTTAAATGCTTTATTTATTTACCTACAACAACTTTACATCTTATCTGTCAAATTACTTACAAAAAGTACCGGTTATCGTTTTACTTACGGTTAAAGTTAGGTGGTGCAACTCAGCTTTAGTGAATATTATTTAAACATGAGTCAAGTTTTTCTATATTGCATTCAATGTTAATTTTATGATTGTTTGTAAATATTAGACACATTTGATCTTAAAATTACATAGTATGTGACGCAACAGCAGTGGTCATAAGCAATCTCTATATTTTAGTTGAAATGGAACACGAAAGTTTAAAATATTAAAAGTAAACCATATTTATACATGGGACAGGAAGTTGAGTATTGCAACTACATAAGGTACACCGAAGACAATCGGACCTGCCTCAGTCTACGTTGTAAAGAGAGATAAATCCGTCCGTCCGTTTGGGTTGCTTAACTACCTAGCTCGCATAAATATTTATAACTACATATGTATATTTTCAAGTCCGTAAACCCTTGAAAGAGGCTGACAATAGGAAATTAGTTTCTTGCGCTGGTTCTTCTCAACACTGGCCCATTTATTGTCCTGAAGCAATGGTATAGTCTGGTCTGCGAGCACGTAGAATTTTGTCCAATGACCCCAAGCTACCCATCCTTATCGCTTGCGCGTAATTATATTGCTGTCGCGACGCGCCATCAGTGAGTGTGCGAGCGCGACAGCAACATAACTACGCGCGAACGATAAGGATGGGTAGCTTGGGGTCATTGGACAAAATTCTACGTGCTCAGAGACAGGGCTTTAGTGTTAATGTTACGGAAGTGATAAATGTGAAAATTATGAATAATCGCCGGTTATTATGAATAATTACCACATGATTTGGTAAATGTGATTAATATAAGATCATTTATGTGTGTATAAAATCCCCCGCCGCACCTTAACCTATTTATCACTTTAAATCAAAACAATGTGTTATATAATGTTACGCAAGAAATAGTCCAAAATCATTTTGCCAAATTATATTAATATATGATATCAAAACGTTTAAAGTGTGAGGCTGTACATAAGCGCTGTACACGAGCCGGTGTTCTCTTTTATGATATTCGTTAGTATTAAGGATACATTATGAAATATTCACTGATAAATGTGATTAATTAATCACTTTTACTTCGCCTGTCGGTAATTATTCATAATAACCGGCGATTATTCATAATTTTCAACTTATCACATTAACCGTAACATTAATACTGGGACGTGTAAAAGTGCTTTTTAAAAGCCTACTTCCATAAATAAATTAGTTTATTTGTCCGCAGGCATGGTGCAGATCTGCGCGGCGTGCTACAAGAGCATCCCGCACAAGTACCCGGCGTACGGCGAGAACGGCGAGCCCAACGCGGCGCACGCCAACTCGCACGCCAACAACATTAGGTCGGTGCCACACCCAGCCCGCCGCCACACGTTAGGCTAAGAACAGAGTAAATACAAATGAGTAGGTCATCTTCATAGATACGCACCTAGGGTTGCCAGGTCCAAAATCACAAAAGCCGGACTTTATGTTTGTTTCATTTGGCCGGACATTTAACCCCTAAAAGCCGGACATGTGACGGGGGGGGGGGGTGATATTAGTGTCAGCTCATAAGTGAGTACTATCATCATCGGTTGCTAACCAACATCCAGATGCGTGCGCTTCATATGATTCTGTGGCTTGACTTTCGCCTGGCGCGGCAACCAAATAAAAAGCCGGACAGGCCGGACAAGACCCTAAAAAGCCAAACATGTCCGGCTAAAGCCGGACGCCTGGCAACCCTATACGCACCGAGCGCGGTTTGTATGTGAGCGCGCGGCAATACGTATGCGGCGATAAATTTTATCAGTGTGTGCGTGAGCGCCGCATACGTATTGACGCGCTCACACACAAACCGCGCTCGGGCGTTTCTATGAAGATGACCTACTCATTTGTATTTACTCTGGTAAGAACTCATGGCGCGTACATCATACACCTTGATGTAAGGTATCTAAATAGATTTGAACGTCAACTCCCTGGCCACCCCTGTATAGTTCCCGCTCCAGAATATAAGGGCCTTCACTAAACCCCGAACGGGCACGGTGTGATTTGATGTGTTGTGTGCATTTCCATGCATTAATGGGCGGCTACCCGCTCCGTGCACCCACTTACGCGAGTTTTAGCGGAGGCCTTAGTGTCTATTAGCAGTGGTTCCCAAAGTTGTCTGGTTCCCAAACTCATCTAATACAAGTTGCCAAATTCGAGACCCACCTATAGGAAATTTCGCCCGCTGCCCAGCGGTTGGATGGGTAGGGTGGTGTGTCGTTCTACAGGCAGGGCCCACTCAGTGTTCGAGAAACCCTGGTCTATAGCTTATAAACACTTGACTGGTGCAGCCGACACCCAGGACTGAAGACGGACAGTAAACGATGATTTCCCGTTTCAGGTTTAAGCCGTACGATATTAAGTCGAGTAGTTCAAGTCAATCCAACAAGCGGACCTCAAATGCGCTCTCCAGCAGTCCACAGAGCCAGGCTGTGTCGGAAAATGGCATGGGACTGTTCAGGTGTGTATTATATCAACACTATGTAATTTGAATATTTTTCAAGGAAGTGAAAATGACTGAAAATTAGCATTTTTGACAGTTAATGACTAGTTTTTGACCAATTTTGACCGTAAATAACAGTCAGTCATATTCAGTCATTTTAGTCATGTTCATTTAGTGATATACCCCATTAGACGAACTGTGATTGGCTGTTTGCTTCAAATTAGCCTGCCTATAATTTTGATATGGAGTCTGACTAACGGCCGGTTCACACATGTCTCCATTTTACTGTTCCGTTTTATCGTGTACGTTTTTTTTCGTCGATGGCGTATGTAGTTGTATAAGCGACTTTACACCATGACACAGTATTCTGTATACAGTAATACATATATCGACGAAAAAAAAAACGTACACGATAAAACGGAACAGTAAAACGGAGACATGTGTGAACCGGCCGTAATACGTCTCGTAGTGGACGTACCTAGTATGTGTGACGATAGAAAGAAAGAAAGAAACATTTATTGCCATGGACATCACAGAAGACAAAAGATGTAAATAATAGAAAAAAAAAGCAAATAAGACATAGGTGACATAAAACATACAATGAAAGTGAAAGTAAATTGAGCAGCGCCACCCTGTCGCACAGCGATGTCCATCGCAATGGGACCCCACTCAGCATATGCCGTGGCCCATGGTGAGGGAGGCCACGACGATAGAACACGTACTTGTCACTAGTGGTAAGCCGATTGTATAATGCCAATAAGTGGTGACTGAGTTTGTTCCGGCGTTTCTTCTCAGCACTTGCCATATGTTTGTCTCGAAGCGCTGGTAGGTCCCAAAAGATAAGGAGACATGTAAAGTGCCCCATAAGGGCTACCTTTTTCTTTTTTTATTATTTTCTATTGACGTTTATAAGTGCCACTTGTGGTCTAAACTGAATAAATATTTTTTGATTTTGATTTTGATTGACTAGCAACAACTCGGAATTGCAGGTGCTACGTGTGCGCGGGGCTGTTCCACCAGCAGTCGATGGAGTGGCTGTCCACCACCGCCGAGTACATGAACTCGCACGCGATGCACTTCCCTTGCCTCGCGGCCGCCGGCGCCGGCGCCGGACCACCGGCCCGCGGCGGCCGCGTGCTCGCCTGCTCGCGCTGCGTGCGCCACCTGGCGCGCCAGTGGGAGCTCATGGACGCCGAGCGCGTGCCGCTCGAGCACCGCAGGTAACACCCGCCCTTGGTGCGGGCACGAGGCGCCTGCCGCCTGCTCGCGCTGCGTGCGCCACCTGGCGCGCCAGTGGGAGCTCATGGACGCCGAGCGCGTGCCGCTCGAGCACCGCAGGTAACACCCGCCCTTGGTGCGGGCACGAGGCGCCTGCCGCCTGCTCGCGCTGCGTGCGCCACCTGGCGCGCCAGTGGGAGCTCATGGACGCCGAGCGCGTGCCGCTCGAGCACCGCAGGTAACACCCGCCCTTGGTGCGGGCACGAGGCGCCTGCCGCCTGCTCGCGCTGCGTGCGCCACCTGGCGCGCCAGTGGGAGCTCATGGACGCCGAGCGCGTGCCGCTCGAGCACCGCAGGTAACACCCGCCCTTGGTGCGGGCACGAGGCGCCTGCCGCCTGCTCGCGCTGCGTGCGCCACCTGGCGCGCCAGTGGGAGCTCATGGACGCCGAGCGCGTGCCGCTCGAGCACCGCAGGTAACACCCGCCCTTGGTGCGGGCACGAGGCGCCTGCCGCCTGCTCGCGCTGCGTGCGCCACCTGGCGCGCCAGTGGGAGCTCATGGACGCCGAGCGCGTGCCGCTCGAGCACCGCAGGTAACACCCGCCCTTGGTGCGGGCACGAGGCGCCTGCCGCCTGCTCAGCGCGCCAGTAAGTTATGTGAGACACGCCCCGCTAGAAGGGCGGGTCCTGCCCACTAAAACCCGACTGTATCCACCGGAGCCGCGAGCTATTGTCCTAGCTTGGACATTCGTTCGCAATTTTAAAGAAACAACTTGAAAAAATCTAACTGCGATGGGAATCAAACCCACGACCTCGGTCGCAACTCTGACTCTGGCTTCGGCTTCGGGCCCAGCAATGCCATTGTCCGGTTGTTGTTATTGAAGTTTTTTCCTCGTGGGCATAGTGAAACATCGCCTAAAACCAGTTAACTGCGCACCTGGTGGCCGTGACGTCACATCGACGAATGTGCGGAGATATGCGGGTGAATGTGAGGGAAAGTCGCATTCTGTATTCTGTTAGCTTATAAGATGTTTGAATTATAAATAAAAAAATATCAGCGACGTGCGCAGTTAACTCAATCGGGTTGTAAACAACGTTACTTAAGCAATTCAATCAACGTTTTTTACTTTTGTTTCAGATATAATATCCCCTCGCCGTTACCTTCGAATTCGTCGATGAACGGCGACCGAGTCATACCCACCCCACCCTCCACCACCTCAGAAAGAACTGTTGCTAGTAATAGTGGTAAGTCAATCAAGATTTATATATTACCTATAAATGGCTAAGCAGATACATAATTTAAGGTCCCATTATTTGTATTGTATTGCTGTTGGTTTTCCGAATAAAATAAAATAAAAATAAGATCTAATCCATAACCAACATCATCATTTCAGCCATAGGACGTCCACTGCTGAACATAGGCCTCCCTCAATGATTTTATTTTAAGTCCAAACTTTTCATTGATTTTAGACTTATGCCCGTTTTCACCATCAATCCCTAATTTTTAAGTGACCCCTGTGGTAACACATAACAGGAATTTTGTTTTCATAGGGGTCACTTAAAAATTAGGGATCGATGGTGAAAACGGGCATACAACAAGCAAATAAGTTTAAAAATATTCTGATAATACGTCGAAAGTGTTGAAACTTGCAAATATACTCAAATTTCGAGTGTCTATCATAAGTTTACTTATTGATATCTCATTACAAAGTAGTGCTCCGACCTTGCTTATTGATACGAGAGTGAATTGATCGATTGTGTAAATACTACTAATGTCTTTAATGCGTTTTGATACAGATGAATTTTCATTGCGTTGAGGTGCAGGGTCATATAGAGTTTTCCCAATATTTTTCATCCCACAGCGCAGTTACTAGTATTTTGTCACGGCGCCCTACACTTTCGAAAGATAAAGTCGAAAGAAATCACCTATAATGATAGTTGATAGTAGTTAGGTTAATTAAACATCTATCTACACACGGCGCACACTTTGGGAACCCCGGATATTCAGTGTTTACCTTACCTTCGGCACTTTCTGTCTGCACGTGTATTGTGTAGGCAAATAAATGTTCTATCTACCCACGTATCAATAAGGCTCACTTTGCAGTGTGCACGTCAATATACTGGTTACTGATTTACCTTTGGTACTTTATCTAATTACGCGCGAGCCGAGCGATAAGAATGGGTGTAGCTTGGGGTCATTGGATGAAATTCTATCTGCTCGGCGACCGGAATTTGTACGTGTCTTCTGTAAGCAAATAAGGCGCTATCTATCCATTAATAAGGTTCATTTTGTTGCAGCGTGTACGTCAATATACTGCTTCCTGTGCGGACTGCACTCGGACTTCACGTTGGCGCGCATCCTGTACGGCCAGCCGCAGGGCAACGCGCCCTACTTCCCCTGCCTCCTTACTCACCAGGTAACTATGTCTCCTCACTACCCCACCCTCCTCTAAACTACAGCACATTTTGTTACGTAGTACCAACTCTTGATTAGTTTGGGAAAAGAAGTCCAAAGATCCGTCCATTGACTTCTACTTTTAACTGGATTCGCTGAAGACGTCAAAAACATCTGCTCGGCCCGAAAAGGGGAGATATTAATGTTCAAATAAAACTCTTATTTATATAGCAATACAACAACACAACAAAAGCAAACAATCTTGTTTGATACGAGAGGGGAAATGATAGTTGATCAATTTCTTTAAAAAAAAATAATATCTGAAGATATTTTTTTTAGTTTTCGATGATGATGACTCATAAAACATGTGGAATTTGAGAGCCACCTCTTTCAAATGGAATAAGTTTTTTTTACAATACTCGTGTTTTTTCACCTTGTTTTTTATCGTATCGTATTTAGTGTAGAGAAAAATATTTTTACTGACTAATAATAATATTTGTTTCTTCTTCCCAGAGCCATCCAAACGCGGAACAGTTACGGGAAAACGGTTCCGCACTAGTCTGTACATTCTGTTACCACTCGTTACTAAGTCAGTGGCGAAGGTGAGTTATTAGTTTATTTACTACATTTGTTTATTTAAGACATTATGTGAAATGTAAGCAAGGGGTTTTTTTCCGGATGAAACGCGTTGCGATATACGGTCTCATAACCATTATGGGACTCTTTAATTAATCATTTATTTATTTTACCAATGGTCCGTGACCCTGACTCGGCATGGGGAACACTGAAAACCAGCGCCGTGGCCTTCGTCACCGTGGGCCACGGCATATGCTGAGAGGGGTCCCGTTGCAGTGGGCATCTTGTTGGTGGATGGGTGGCACTGCTCTGTTTACTCTTGTTTTTATTTTTTCTTCTTCCATTATTATGTGCCACTGTCATGTCTATGTGTGATGTCCATTGTAATAAATGTCTTTCTTTGTTTCTTTCTAATGAGGGGCTATCAACGCTCAGTTCCATGTGCGAAGTTTGCTCACTGAGAGCTTTCTCAGGCCAATATTACTGATGCACGGTTATAATGAACAGAGATAAAAACGAGAGTGAATAGGCACTTACAGGGCAGATATGTACCATCCTAGACTGCATCTCACTTAACACCAGGTGCGATTGTGGTCAAATACCTGCCTTGTTATGCATAAAAAAAAAACGCCGAGCTCGTTTTAGACTCTGTAGAACGCCATTTTGTGGCGCTGGCGTGCCGCCATCTTGTTAAAGGACCGTGTTTTTGCTCCCATTTCCTTCCAATACATTATTTTACGTTAAATCTTCTTTTAAATATAAATCTTTTTTCTCAGGTACGAGTCATTAGGCGGCTACCCACCCGAGAGGCGAGCGTACAACACGCACGACTATCACTGCCATCTGTGTGGAATCAAGACCTACAGAAAGCGAGTGCGAGCGCTACCTATAAAGGTACCCACATAGTTTATCCTTTATTACAACTAAAGCCTGGTCCGTGAGCACGTAGAATCCCGTCAAATACCCATCCTTATCGCTCGCGCGTAATTATATTGCTGTCGCGACTGTGCGACGCGCGCCCGCAGCGAGTGTGCGAGCGCGACAGCAACATAATTACGTGCGAGCGACAAGGATGAACAGCTTGGGGTCATTGGACGGGATTCTACGTGCTCACGGACCAGGCTTTACGTAAAGGACACATTCAGCACTAAATGTGGGTCCTACCGAATATCGCATTCGGACGAATATTCGGTTTAAATAGGCGCCGAATTTACTTCGAAATCATCATTTGATTTAGATTTCATTTAAAATTAATTTTCTTTTGATTTTTCTGTCTTATTAAATTAATTTAAGCTATCGAATTTCGGCAGAACTAACCGAAATTGACGGGAGTCGAAGTTCTGTAAAAGCTGCCGAAATAATACTAAATGTAAAACGAATTTCTGTGCATCTCTCTTACTCGTATTTGTCTTAATATGCCATTTGTATTTAAGTTACACAGTCAAACAATATGTTGTTTGTTCCAGGAATTCCCATTTTTAGTGCAAAGGCGGACTGAAAATTCGTTATTATTAGAAAATGGCGACTACGCCGTAGTATGTTTAGACTGTTATGAAAGTTTAAGGTAAGTTGGAGTAGTTTTAGCTCTTCCTTTTCTAATAATAATCAGTACCTCTAGTAGGAAAAACTTTCGAGTTCGTTTCGTTGCGTATTCAAAGTGTCATCGAAAAATTTTGTATGAAAAATTAAACAGCGCCCCCTAGGGCGGCTATAATATAGGGGGCGCTGTTTAATTTTTCATACAAAATTTTTCGATGACACTTTGAATACGCAACGAAACGAACTCGAAAGTTTTTCCTACTAGAGGTACTGAATTTGTCGATGTTTTTATAGTAACTTTTAAATAACTTATATGTATTGTTTCTCCTTTCAGTCATTCATCTATTCATATAATTTAAAAAATTGATTATTTCTATAAACAATTTCATCCCTAAGCAGGGCCTACGCTAGAACTTGTGGGGTCTCAGCCATTCGTGTATGTATCGAAAAATAGTACGAACAGCGCAGTGGGAATATTGTTGATTTGCCACAAAGTTGATTAGGTACCTAAGTACCCGTTCAAGTTTTAGCGTAGGCCCTAAGACAAGCGATCGCCTTTTGTTTTTTTCTACTGATAAACCACAACTATCCAATCTTTGATCATCGTTTTTATTCCATTTTAAAAAGATTATTAGTAAAATTTAGTGACCGACCGAATATTCGTTTTCGTTTTCGTTTTCGGCCATTTTCGGCCAAAAAATGGACATTCGGCCATATTTTCGTTTTCGGCCAAAAACCAGCCGAAGCTTCGGCCAAACCGAATATCAGAAATACGTGAATAAGATGGTGACGTTTATCGTTCCGATATCTTCGGGAGTGAATCTGGTGCACTCATGGTTCCAATCAGACTTGAACGAACGCGGTATTGTCACACTCTTTTGAAGTTGTGAAGTGAGGTTACGTTGAAAAGGGGGTCCAGCTAGAATTTTCCAAGTTCAAAATTGAATACAAATAAAACCAAAGAGTTTTCATTAACTTTAATTGTTTCAAAATAGAGTCTAATGCGGATTTGAAATACGCTATGAGTCACTGGTCGGAAGCCTACAGAGCGTTCGCAGTTGAGCAATAAGTGTTTGAAATGTATTGTCGAATGATCGATGAATGTCTGATACCACAACTGCAACTGCATCCCGGTCAACTACGTAACTCTATTTCAGCAAGAAGGTGTCTCACCATACACGGAGATTACCTCGATGGAGACACTGAGGACTATTTTTTTCACCCACTCTAAGACTTAAAGGAAACGATCTATGAAAGCAAAACAAGGAGACAGGATATTCCGCGATTCTGCACAAAACCCTAAAAGAAATACCCCTCATCAACAGGATAGGTACCCTGTGTACACATCTTCGACCAAAGATAATATCCAGCTTACAGCGGAAACGCGAAATTGCTCTGGAATCAATGAAGTTAGGATATACCGACGTCTTCAAAACTGAAATAAGTACTAGGAGGTCTTCTCGAATGACCTAAACATAAGAATATCAACAACATTAGATAAGAATTAAATATTCTCAGATAGTGCATCCGTACTGCAAGCGCTACAAAGCAATACATTGTCATAATGTTATCAAATTGTGTTTCATGAAATGTATAGAAATAGGCTATTGATGAAACTTTTGTCCGTGACGTGAGACAGATTATAACATTTGTTGAGACCAAAAGCTAGTTAGCAGTCGATCGTAACAGAATATTACTTGTTTATTGCTTTACGAATTTGATAATGATAACACAGCCAAAAAATATTTCACCTAGTTACCTACCTATATGAATAATTTAATTTTGTAATATTATTTGTACCTATGATTTACCAATGGCATTATAATAAACACGATACAATAATTAATTATAGTCTTTCAATTAAAGAAACTTTCAATATTAAATCGATCCATAATTCATTTATCTCGTTAGGTTCATTCATTCATTCATTTACATAACTATCGATAAAAATTTACGATCTTTTCCCAGCACTAAATGTCATTATTTGACAATTGTCAAACCTCTCCCCCCGCAAAAAGTGGTTGATCGTGTTTCCTTAGAAATCTTGTAGGTTTCGTGTCCAGTGGTTTATTCGTCCAAGATGACAGGCCATCGTCTTTTGTTTATGCCGTATACGCGAGTCGTCACTGCTCTTATACAGGGTGTCAGGGTCAGGTAAATGGGTATATGAGCCGACACTAGCCCATGTTAACATGGGCATATAAATGGTATGGTGAAGTCAGAAATTTGATATTATCATTTAATTTTTTTTAATTTTCATACAAAATAATTTATAAAATCCGATTTGTATGAAAATTAAAATAATTAAAATTAAGATATCAATTTTCTGACTTCACCATACCATTTATATGACCATGTTAACATGGGCTAGTGTCGGCTCATATACCCATTTACCTAACACCCTGTATAAGTAACGGAATTAAGTTTAAAAATATAAGTTTTACCCGTCATTAACCCTTCGGTGCGCTGGTAACTGGTGGTAAGCGCCGGTAGAGACATGTCGTCGCTTGCCTCTCTAACTGACGTATCTGAAATTTTTTTCGAAACCGAGTTATCTACACCATCTTAATCAATTTCGCAAGACGAATCGATCTGTCTAATCGCCTGAAAATTTTGCAAAATGTCAGAGTGGCAAGCGACGATGTATAGGCTCCTTAAGAGCAAAATATTTGACAATTTGCAAGTACTATTTAAATAGTCTATACAAATAAAGACATTTTTGACTTCGACTTTGACGTTCGCAGAACACAAGCGCAAGACTACGAGCGGCGCGGCGTGCCGGTGGAGAAGCGCGAGTACAACTGGCTGCAGCAGCCGCCGCCGCCCGAGGACTCCGCCGACGTCACCATCGCGCGCCTGCCGTCCGGCGACCGCTCCGACAAGCTGGTAACCATACAAAGTCGGGACTATTCCCACCTCTCGTTCCCACCACTGCATCTCCTGTGTAGCCAGCATCTGCAGCTTGACCGCCATAAAAACCCAACCAATGAAGGTCAAGTGTGTCCCGGGGGAAAGTTAAACTGTCGTTGGACCCGCAACGAAATTAATCAGAAGAACATAGGAGGAGTTCGAAATTAAGGTTCGACTGCCCTCCATTGCAAAGCGGATGACAGGTGACAAACAAAGGTATTAAAACCTTTAAGAAAAAATTATGCACCACGAACAATAAATATTAATTAAGGGGGCCTATCATAAGAACAATTAGCAACTAACTGGTAACCATACAGCGATTACTATAACATACAATGTTGGGCAAGGCACGTACCCTGACGACCTGTGGGATAGCAAGGTTATGGAATGGATCCCACGTACAGGCAAGTGCGGGGACAGGAAGAAGCTGGATGCAGGCCGCTACCTACCGGTATACTAATAAACTATTCAATATAATTTATTTATCAAAAACCGAACTCCAGAAATTCAGCCGGAGGTTAAAAATGTATGGAAGTAATTGGGGAGAGGCCTTATGTTCAGTAGTGGACGTCCGACGTGGTATCAGCTGAAGGCTGTTGGGACAGAAAATTTCTCAAGTAGCGGACCACAGAACAAGAGATGTAATGTAATCAGGCTTCCTATTCAGTGGACTGACAATCTGGTGAAGGTCACAGAGCTAAATCTTTGTGGGAATATCTTCCAGGGAGGTTCTTTGTCCAGTTGTGAACGTCTTTTAGACGGCGAGATAAACACATTATAAACAGATGGTGCCCAAAACAGAGATACAGCCATAACAGATTAGTATTCTGCCTTACTCAGTGCTATCCCCGCAGATCCCCCAATCGCTGGTGCTGAGCCGGAGCTCGAGCAAGCGCAACAGCCCCAAGGCGAGCGCGCTGCCCGACGCGCGCCGCCCGCCGCCCAAGCTCGACAAGCCCGATCCAGGTCAGTGACGATAATTGGATTGTTTTAACGCACTCACACAACGCTTAGCATAAAAATAACGAGAACATTTTAACGGGTTATGATGAAAGGTTCGAGCAGATATCTAACAGCAGTACAAATCCTTAAATCGATCACGCCAGTTTAAAAAAAATCTCCTAATCCAAGTTAACTACGTGTGTCCATTATTATTATGTTTCATCATCATCACAATCTTCGCCAAAATATCGAATGTGTCTAAAAATCGCGCAACAATTGGTAAATTAACTTTGTAAAAATCCAAAATTAATTTTCCTTTCCGAACGTTTCCAAAGCGACGAAAATCACTCCGGAAAATTTGGTTTCTTTGTAGATAATACAATTCATATTTAAACAGCGAGGATAGGGTCGAAGGGTAACCACCTGTGGATGGGACCTCCTTACCCGCCCCGTCGTTTGCCAAAGAATAAAAAGACAGATTAGACTATACAAACAATTTCTGCCTAAAAGGCGCGGGATTCTGAAAGGAATTGTTTTTTTTTTAAGTTTAAATCAATAGTTCCAAAATGCTACATGCGGCTTACTAATATTATAGGGATTTGTGATTGGTATTTCAAACTAAGCCGTATCCAAACTATCCCAACGATTCCGAAGTAAGCATACTAATCTTGTCTCATTTTGTTTTACATCTTTAGCAAAGTTGCGTATTTCCTATTAAATTTAAATCATTAACTCATTATTTTTATAGTATAGTGTCATAATTTGCAATGTCTCTAAGAACTGACCTTTTTTGTAATTAATACACGTCGATTCCAAACATCAGACGAGTGTCGCATCTGTTCCCTAAGTATTCTATCCCCCATCCGTTGCTAGGCAACCGCAGGCGTCAAGTGTGCTCAGTATGCGGTGCACGTAGCGTGGCGCCTCCAGGGTTCACTCAACTCGGAGACTTGCGGGAAACTTTGTTTATATTGATTTTTGATCAAGGAGGCCTGTTGTGCAAAGTACGGGATTTGATCACAGATAAGCGTAAGATATTGTATTGTGTCAGATGTTTTGGAGTTTTTCATCTGCTTTAGTTTGGATCTATCACTTACAGCACGAGTCAGGGAAAGTCTCTCTTAAAGGAAAATCATGGGAGGTATTCTGAAATTAAATTGATCCTCTTAACATTTATTTTACTTGAAAGAAAACATTTTTATCATATTATAATTTCAACAGCGTTTATTTTCGCTAACGTTTATCTTCCAACATTTCAATAATGATTGTTATATTAAATAATCTTTTCAGTTCTCACCACACTACACATTTTGCAGGAACTTGGCATTAGGCCATTAGTGTGCCAGATAATGTTTTACAGCATCGCACATGTATTACCTTATCTAAGTACATCACTGCTATTTTAATTATATTTAACTTTTGAAATGACAAAATAAATAAGGTAACTTAGTATTTTGGTTAAAAAACCAGAAAAGCTCTGAAACGTCGTCTTATTAAGTTTGCTTCCATATACGTCTTTCCATGCATATGTTATTATTTATCCCAGATAAGCCAATATCGCAATAAATATACAAATCGCAGGCAACCGGAATACAACATTTTCTAAACAAAGCCGAAAATAAATCCGTCCCCATAACATCGCCCAAATACAATATGCTGATATTTCCAATACCCGTGTAACTTTCTGTTGAAATTATGAACTCTGTGCCAAGGCTGTAAGGTTGATATTGTGATGACGGCGCGAGAAATGACGTTTGGGTATCGAGGGTCTAATATTATGAGAGTAAGCCGGGGTATCACAACGTATTCGTATCGGGCATAGATTGTGTATTGGTTGACGGTTGGTGCATATCATAAGCGGTAGCGATTTTGGTAGAAAAAAAATATCAGATTTAAAATGAGGAAAAATTGAATCTAGTGCTTGAAATTATTGGTCAGAAATGCTTCGCGTTATTTATATTTTACTTACTACTTAAACTTAGCATAAATCTTCTGATGCCAAAAACTGCGATGACTACGCAGCGCCATCTGTTGGTTTCATAATTGAAACACACTGTGACTTTGCTTAGTGATTTTTGGTCAGTTATTTGCTTCTTCAATGAGAGTTTCCTTATTTGTGCTCACCAGCCAACTGAGCAAAATTAAGAAAATACTCAATATGAGGGTAGTTAAAAATCTTCAAGCCCGCCCGAACGGACGACGCCGCGAACCGCCAGTCTGCTTGTGACCACGGCTGCAGCATCGCAGCCGAAACGTCAAGCCGTGAGTACATAATGTAACTCATTAATAAACGTCGCGTTAAGACCCGTGTCTTACTATTTTAATTGAAATGGAACGCGAAAGTTTAAAATCTTATAAGAAATAGGATACACGTTCAAAAATAATTTATATTAATTGAAATTGACAGTTATTATCTACTATTAAATATACAGCACTCGTGTCCTTTTAAGCACGTCCTCTAACTCCCCCGTCCATCAATCGCTCCATTTCACCCCCTGTCCCCGCGTGACGTCACCGCGCGCCATCGCAATTGATTCGCCACGGTTTATTGTGTTTGCCGTTGTCGCGTCACTCGCAAAATGGACGCCGAACGAGTGGGCGCGACGACAATCTAATTTGAGTGCAATTAGATGCCTGTAGGGTTCGTTTTACTATGGGGATGTTATAGCGGAGCTCAATTTTGAAGTGCTTAGTTTTTGGCGATTCGCACTATTTGCTAGATACGAATTCTTTCAAATAAAAAATGTCAATTTCCGATCACAGTGGCGCCATGGGACCACCTTTTAAGATTTTTTATACATTTTCATCCCAAAAGCTTTAAAGCGGGCATCTAACCTTTTTATAACTTAGATATTCTTAATTTTTTTAATATAAGTATTCCATTTATTACATTTTGAAGTAGAGAGAAGACAGATACTGTAACTGTACTTGACGTGATATGTCTTTAAAGTTTTGCCATAAACGAACCCTAAACTAATTTGTCTCCCTTTTTTCAAATATTTTTTTTTTCTTTCTTTCTTTTTTCTTAGCAATAGAACTCCGAAATGATATCGATAGTAAATCCTAAAACAAAACACCTCCATCCCTCCTGTTGGTTTTGGTATACATTACAAAGATTAACTCCCGGTAAGAGCATCGGGACTCCCCGAGGCGACAACGGGAGCCGAAGCCGGGATTATTGGAAAGCCATTTGCGGGGTCGGGGATAGGCCGTGGCTCCACTGAGAGCGGGCGCGTGACCCTGAAGTGTTAAAAGGTTAAAGTGTCAGTTAGACGCCTTGAAAGTCGATGCGTGTAGACTTAACGTCAGGTGAGATTTCTGTTTATTATTTATTGTTTATACTTGCCTATTTGCTGAAAATTAAATTCAGTTTATATGACATTACATTCCGAGCTACGTGCCAATGTCGCGGCAGCGATACATCGGCAGCACTGACTGATGCGCGGTATTGTCACCCTACTGAAAGATGTTATATGAGATGACATTTCGAGATGCGCAGCAATGCAATGGCAGCACTGTTGCGTACAGTGAAGTTCAGAGTCATACCTTTATGCCACAGATTTATTTAGGACTTAAAAGTCAGCGTCAAATAGTTTGTGACACATCTTACAATTGTAATAAGTTTGTGTTGTCAACCAGTACAATGTATCAACTTCTCCGCTACGTACCACACCACGTCCGCTCGCAAGCTGGCAATAGACAATAGGCGCGCCGATTGGATGTCCCCCGCCGAGTCGCCGCCGAACAATCCACGCCGGTTAATTGACGACGCCGGTGTTTTTCCGGCGTTCACTTTACACACGTACCGTGAAAATGGAAAGAGCTTCAAGTTAAGCCTTTTTATTGTTTAGATAACTGAAATGCGGTCCTGATTTCAATTTTAATCATTACTATGAACTAATGCTCGCTTGAACTGTCTTGGTGTACTTGTGACATCAATTTGACAAAATGATTATATGAGACAGAAAATTTCAAAAATGACTCTCTCTTTCTTGCTATACTTAATTTTCTAACTAAATATTTTTTCAACGCCAATTTAGTTATACTGCTTCATTTTAAAACTACCCTCTGTTCATCATGTGTTGCCAGCATAATTTGTATACAATATTTATTCCTGGAAAACTGCTCGATTCGGCCAAACAAGCGCATGGAAACGAACGAGGAATTTGATATTCCGCACAATGAAATTGTTTCCTTTGTGCTGTCAGGGTTACTTACAACTTGTTGGGGTGTTATGACCTTTATTGCTTGCGGGGTAAAGTTCACGTGTTAGCAGAGTTCGTGCAGGTCGCCAACTTGGGTTAATCTAGTTGTGACCCGGGTCGTATTAATATAATTTAGGATGGTTTTTCCTAATGACATTTATTTCCCCTGCAGGATTACTTGGTTAAATACAGATTGTAGACCAAGATTTTGTAGGTAAAGAAATAATCTTACATACAGCCAAGTTAAAACTTAGTTATTCATATTTTTACTACGTTCATAGTAAAAAATACTCGCATTCAACTGGTTGGAACGTGGAATGCTGCGATTAAGCCTCTTTATGTACTGAATAAAGTAATATGAAAGTTGGCGCCCAACATGGTGCATGAATAATGAATTTCCGTCTCGCAATTAATTATCTTTTTAGTACTTGTCTCGAATATCCGGCTCTTGAAGAAACAAGACAATATAGTTCTTCTGTCAGTTGTCGAGTCGCGTTTGTGCTGAACGTACCAGTTGTTATTGGATGTTCAACCATAATTGGTTGTTATAAAGTTCATAGTGAAAAGCGTCGCTGTAGTTATTGTGACAACGCCACAGTCTGTTATTTGTTTCGGCTTAACTTGCAGCTTCCAATTGCAGTCGGACTCTTTTCAGTGTAAAAGTTGTATTTTAAAGCGATAAACTTGGCGCCCAACGTGGTGTTTTATTGAAATAGAATATAATTTATATTTTCTTTGTTACCAGAACCATTTAATATTTTTATCGTAACTTCAACATAACATGTGTCATATTCTTTGGTTAATTCGGTCACATAGGAAAATAAGGAACTTACCTCAATTTTTTTGTAACTATGATTATGGACCTACGTGTAATAGATTCAATTTAGTGATGGCTTGGAGATGCCTGAGTTTCTTGAGCATCGATTTAAAATACACGTACCTTACATCCTAATGCGGGTACCGGTAAACCGTACTTATTATTAACAAACTTTAGTTTATACAGATTATCTGCCAACTCAGCTAATTCCCGTCCTTCAAACCTGTTTCACTTGATCCTCATAATCAGCACTAGCCTTGGCAAAGTTTCGTGCAGCCATCCATCTAACCGACTGAGCTATTGGCGTCCTCAATCATTGTTTGTATTAGCGCCGGCTCTAAGTCTCTCGCGTAAGCTGAACGTGACTGTCGCCTGTAAAAGCTAAGATTGGCACAGTAGGTTCAGTGAGTGCCAACTAAGATAACTTTCAGTAGCGGCGTAACGGTGTTCCGCTCCGGGTTCCAAGCATCAGGGGGTGACACAAGTCGCGCAGATTAGTACTCACTGGCGATTATATTATCTTTCATCATCTGTGGGAACCTATAAGTGGTTTACTCGTTGCCTATCTTGTGTCATTATTACACACTGTAAAACCCTGGTTTTCCTAAATAAATAAATAAATAAATAAATCTTCGAATCGGTAGGAAACCCCAAAATCCTGGGGGGTACCAGGGGGTGCCTTAGGACTAATGACGGGGGGCGATCGCCCCGGGTGCCAACCCATGCTACGCCGCCACTGATAACTTTATAAAGTTTTGACTACTAGCTTTTCCTAAGGGTTCGCTAGCGCGGATTTATAGCCTAATCACTCGGGAATAATGTAGCTTTCCATTGGAGAAGGAAAGGTTCGGTAGTTTCAGATATTACTTCTTATTTTATCAGCGCGATCACTTCCATTTTCATTTCGAAAAATTAAGACATTGAGATTAAAAGTAGAAGCCTGGTGTACTCTACGTCGAAGTGGTCCAAATTCAGACCTAGTCTTTTAGTATAAAAAGCGATGACGATTCTATAGTTTCCACTTCGAATTTGGTATTTCTTATTGCTCGTCCACTGTGCTTGTACTATCGTCTATAATGGCGCCCAATATGGTGCTGCAAACCTCCATTTGCGCGCGACTCGAAACAACTGCAGCGAACATCGCAACAATAAAGCGATATATTTTTAGTCTTTCACCTTGACACTGGTCTATCGTCCGTTCACTGTGCATGTACTGTCGTCTATAATGGCGCTCGACATGGTGCCCCAAGTCACGGTAATATTATCATACAGTATTGTAACTTCATATAAACGGACGAAACACGAACTTTCCTTCGAAATTCAAATCTCGGTATGCGCTCGTGTCGCGAATGTGCCACGGTAACAAACGGATGATGTGTTGTTTTTGAAACAGTAAGCGCTCTTTTTTATAAAAATAATTACAACTACCTACTACTACTACATATTATGCATATAAATGGTATGGTGAAGTCAGTGATATCATTTTAATTTGTTTAATTTTCATACAAAATAAAATTTATAAAATCAGATTTGTATGCAAATTAAAATTATTAAAATTGATGATTATTTCAATTTTCTGACTTCACTAAGTATGTATACCATTTATATGCACATGTTAACATGGGCTAGTGTCGGCTTATAAACCCATTTACCTAACACCCTGTATAATAATCAAGAATTTTGTATGCCTCAGTCGAGGCGCATACATTTTACGGTGCGACCGATTTATAAGATTTATTACTAAATCCTAACACAAAATTATAATTTTTAATTAAATCTACTAATCACAAAACAACATGCATTTTATCCTATTTCATTCAGTAAGTTATTTTGTTTGTCAAAAGAAAATAAAAATATACAATCACAAAATACATTCACAAAACTAGATAAAAATTCTAAGTAGGCAGATGTAATGAAAATAGGGTCTGCAGGTGGGCAGCCCTATCGCATGTTGTCAATGGTGACGTACCGCGCGGCTGTTGACATTTATTTAAAAAATATGGCCGAGTTGGAATACTGTATAGATAGTATTACCGTGCCCAAGTTTCCATTTGTGCGCGACTTAAAACAACTACAGCGAACACCGCAGAAATAAAGCTAGTTATTCAGTCTTTCACCTCGTTACTGGACTTTCTTATCGTCCGTCCACCGTGCTTGTACTGTCGTCTATAATGGCGCCCAACATGGTGCCACAATCCTCCATTTTCGCGCGACTTGAATCAACTACAGCGAACATCGCAGCAATAAAGCGAGATATTTTTAGTCTTTCCCCTCTCAACTGGACTTTCTTATCGTCCGTCCACTGTGCTTGTACTGTCGCCTATTATAGCGCCCGATATGGTGCCGCAAACCTCCATTTGTGCGCGACTTGAAATAACTACAGTGTATATCGCAGCAATAAAGCTAGTTACTCATAGTCTTTCACTTTAAACTGGACTTTCTTATCGTCCGTCCACTGTGCTTGTACTGTGGTCTATAATGGCACCCAACATGGTGCCGCAAACCTCCATTTGTGCGCGACTTGAAATAACTACAGTTAACACCGCAGCAATAAAGCTAGTTACTCATAGTCTTTCACTTTAAACTGGACTTTCTTATCGTCCGTCCACTGTGCTTGTACTGTCATCTATAATGGCGCCCAACATGGTGCCGCAAACCTCCATTTGTGCGCGACTCGAAACAACTACAGCGAACATCGCAGCAATAAAGCTAGTTACTGTTGTTAGGGGCGTATTGTTTCCAAAGTGCTGCATTTTATTCCGTGGTGTTTACTAAATCGGACTTTTTATTGTTTTAAGCGTTAATACACTGGTATAAGGTCGTATTTGATATACATTTATAGGTGTATGTCGTTAAGTTCTGTCCTATTTCTCGTTATTTTGTTACTGTATTACTCGTGATTCTCAGAAGAGAAAGTAATCCTTGTTATACAGAAATAACGAATTCAGTTCTTGGAAATATCTTTTCCGAATAGCAGTCGTATCTTTCTGCGAACATAATAATGATTCTTTTGTTAAGTTATTGTTACAGACAAAAGAATGTAATTATTTACGTATCATACAAATATTGTATAGTCGTTCGTTGTCGTCGTTTGTATTATATCATAAGGGATCATCAATAATAAAGGTATTTCAACTCCCCACTCTACCACTGCGCTATAGATTCGTTAATGATTCGGTTAAATTAAAATAATTATCAAAATACCTCTTTATGCATACCTCCCTAAGCCTATCAACCGGGTCGTGTAAACCCAGACTCATTCCACTCGTCCCACAAACAAAATTATGAAGACTTGAAACACATCACGAATTATAATGAGGCCCTTGAATGCCCTGCATAGTGCTGAAATTTATTGCTGTATTTACGGATTATGAGTTACGTGATCGTTCGTCTCATCGTCTACTTATGTTATTTGAGGAATATTCTAAGAATTTTGTAAGTGCCAAAGTATATTACTATCGGCCACAGTATTAACTATTCATTTCTGTTTTTGCTCTCGCTCTCATCAAATGGTAATTCTTTGCGATAGAACGAGACGACATGACGGGCAATAGGTAGTTAACACTGTTGCCGATAGTACATAATATTTATTGTAATTTGCTTACTTATAAAATTTACACCATTCATTTTTCCACCATTGCATTGGCGGTACATTCGGAAACCTTTTCCTCTCATCCTGGAGTGTTAGTTTTAAGTACCTACATAACTTTTTGCCTCTGATAAGTTGGAGAGGGCCGGGTTCCTCGAGTGGAGACTAAATGACTTGATGATGACTAGTATACCCAGTTCATATGCACACGTGATTTCAGATCAGAAGTGCTTGATTCTTCGTGGGTAGTTCTTACAGACAAAACTGTTTAGCGCAGGTGTAGTCCCCCGTCATTACTTGTTCTGCATTCTTGTTGCATCAGCAGCGGTGAGCGCCATTGTGCGGCCTTTGTGCGGCCCTCGAGCGCGATACCGGCGGCCGCTTTGTGTGCCGAGTGGCCCGCAGTAAGAGTGGACGCAGTAACACTGAGGCTCTTCATAGTTGTGACTTGACTCAATTCTGCGATTGGCTCACTCGCCAAATCCTCTCAATTTGCATCTGGTGAATAATAAGGATGCTTCCGTGGAGAGACTAATGATGATTAACGCTCCTTACCAATGTCTGTATCTGCCAGAAATAGAGAAGATTTCTGGGTTGACCTAAAACTTGTAGCTATGATCTTCTGACAGATAATTTCCTAGCTAAGCATCAGGAGCCTGTGAAAGAGATTTTAAGTCTAGATGCTACGATTACCCGCCCGGGTCCCGCCGTTCATGAAACTATTGTCATTAATTTAATTTTGTCCATTACAAAAATTTGTTTACAAGCTCTATAGAAACCAAAAATAAGTGTGGAACGGTCATTCTGTATTCCATCTCCATTAGCCCCTACACTGGGAGCTGACACTTGACTCGCCAAGGGACGTAGTAATGATGCGGCGCGGATCACTGTTGTTTGCTTGTTTTTTAATAGTTGATGTTTATCGACGCTCTAGTATCAGCTTGGATCTATTTTGAGAACTAACTTGCATACTGTAAAAAATAAGTCAGTTTCTAAGCATTTTTATGTACTGGAATTTTGGCGCCCAACGTGGTGTTTTCATTTTTAAGTTTTTTATTTATTTTTGTGTGTATCTGTGTAATCAAATGGTATTGTAATCAATGGCATATTAAAAATGCATGTTTTCATCTAACCATGATGCATTCTTCTGTCCAAGTGACGCACTTTGGGCTCTCTGAAAATATTTTAAATTGACAAGTTAGAAAAACTCGTGTGAGTAACCTTGAACGTTTATCCCACGTTGCTCTCATCTTGCTGTCACCCTTTTCGATTCCAGAGCGCATGCGTGGTCCCGAGCGTTGATTCCCGCTAATGCTTCGCGCACTTGTTTGTTTCGCGCCTCATCTGTATCCAACCTTTTTGTTTATTTATTTTGCATGAAACGTTACGAAATAGGGATGCCAAAACGGTTCTGACGCAGAACGTGTACTTCGCAAAATCAGCATTTTGCGAAATGTGCACTTTTCCATACTAATATTATACAAACAAACTCTTCCGCCTTTATATTTGTATAGAAAAATCCGCATTTTGCGCACTGCACATTCTGCGTCAGACCCGCCAAAACCTTACAATGATATTTGTATTGATGTAACTGTTTTCTTTGCGTATAGCAGTTTTCTGTAGCTTTTTTTCTAAAGTTAATTGTGTAGTTATTTACTAAGATTAACCCAGGCACTGATCAAATTACCGTACTTCCAATTTCTTACAAACTGTTGCTAGTTTTTCGTATTCCAGCTACATTTCTCAGAATGGTTCTATCCAAAGAAATGCCCAGTGCCATACGGCGAAACGCAGGCAATTTTCCAGCGAAGGCAATGAAACAACGCTGGCGTCCTGCCAAAAACTACATGTTAGTCAGGCGAGGCAACCATTCTGGCTTATGAATGGTATTTGTTTCGTAAAAGGGCTTCAACTTGTTCTTTGTGAAAAAGAGCGACTGTTGAGTGTCTAAATTGATGTGTGCCCCACTCTTTTGCACATCAACCTCGTTATAAAATTTGAAAAAAAAAAGTCTAAATGTAATGAATTTATTACGTCCTTACAAGTTGTCAATAAATCTGTATTATTGTCTTTTAAAGTACCTACCTACTAATAAGTTTGACAGATGTATCCAAAAAATTTGGACCCAATAAAATAAAAAAATAAGAATAAAGGAAACACAATTGTAACTCAACAAATAATGAATCCTAATCTCTTCTCTAAAAGGTAGTTAACCACCATGGCTCAGAATATCTCACTGATACAGTAATGGGGCTCCAGACGAGCAGTCCTGGGTTGTATTGGGGTACTCGGCGCGTCTCTAACGAGAGGGCGGCGCTCAGGGTCCGAGGAGCGTTTGGATGGGGCAGTCTACTTGCATATCTCACGGGATACTTGAATGAGTGAGGCCCTTTTCACACGTCCCGGTTGCCGGCTAACCGGCGCCGGGTACCCGGTCGTGAAGTGTATGGGCATGCCGGATTAATTGCGCCGGAACATGTGAAAGCTACGTGCCATGCCCATACACTTCACCACCGGATACCCGGCGCCGGTTAGCCGGCAACCGGGACGTGTGAAAGGGGCCTGAGAGTGGAGATAGAGGTATTATATTATATCAGTCATGATTATTGTTTCAACTTCAAACAATAAACTTCAAACTTTGAAGTTTATTCATCCAATGACAGTTTAATTTTCCCCTGGGACAAATTTGACCTTCACTGGTTGGGTTTTTATTGGCGGTGAAGCTGTAGATCCTGGCTACACAGGAGTTGCAGCGGTGGAAAAGAGAGGCGGGAATAGTTCCGTTTGAAGTTTAGAAGACTACTGAAGAATATTAGAGTTACTTCAGCTACTAACCAGTCAGAAATTTACAAAATGTTCTTTCAAGAAATGACCAAATATTTGTATCTGTATCAGTTTCTAGACTGATGTGGTTATTTCTCTCTTTAAAATGGATGTTTTGAGCCTGAAATAGCCGCTTTGCAGAAAACCATACTCGGGAAATTGTTTAATAACAGAGTTGGAATAAAAACTACAGTTACGACGTCTTATTTGAAAAAGCCCAAGCCTCGTGTGAACGCAGCACTTCTCTGAATGCAGCGCGCGTGCCCTGACTATGGTGGATCTCGAGTGTCGGAGTACTTTGTTGTTTCGCTTCCGTTGCGATATCACCGGGACGTTTTGTATCTGTATCGATCCCCATTCGAGTTGCCGATTGCTTTATATCCTGGATGTAAAGTTTTAATTTTCTCTGCTATTGTATGTACGAACATGCTGTTTTTTTGTTGTATGAGTCATCACACACAAGCCCTTGGTGCCTTTACATATTTGCCTGAACATTCTTTTCAGTAAGATTCTGATTGAAATTGCGCTTCTCCGATAACTTCTCTAAACGTTGCTTGTATTGCTATTCTCGCAAAAATATCTATATCCTTACCGCATAATAATTCTGTAAACAAAAGCTCTATCACAGCTTAATCATCTTTGGATTAGTTACTTTAAAACAGCTTAGCGCTCGCGCGATGTTAAAGGCATACAGCGCCATCTATTTTCACTAGCGCAAATCCCTTACATACAGGGTGAACAATATGAAGATGTAATACAGGGTGTAGGTGTGTTTCTCAAAGCTGTTTAAAGGCAGTCGCTGGACCTAAGGGTGTTAGTCGTTAGTTTGGTATGCGCACGGCGTCGCCAGTCGCCACCTGCCTGAAATATGGTGTTTATATTTGCCGGTCTCCAGACAGGGGGGAACTGTGTCTCTTTGTCGACAAGTCTGGGCTTAACAACGATAGAGTCGGTCTGTTTTGTTGTTGGCGATTTTAATGGAGAGATGTATTGTAGTAATACAGGAGTTTTAAAGTATTCTTCTTCTACCTTTTGCGAGTTTACTCATTATTATCATGAGCAGGCATGTTGTAAAGTCGCAGATATCTTTCACATTTCTTTTATAGGCGGCGTTGGCGAGGCAAAGGCTTTAAAAGATAGATGAAAAAACTTCCCTATTTCTTTTTATAATAAGACACATAATAAACTTACGTCATCTATATAAATAAAAATGAATCGATGTTCGTTAGTCTGATTAAAACTCGAGAACGGCTGGGCCGATTGAGCTGATTTTGGTTTTAAAATGTTTGTCGTAGTCCAGGGTAGGTCTAAACGGTGAGCAAATACGCGCGCGATATTGTTTTTCTATGACAGACAAAATTCCACGCAGGCGAAGCCGCGGGCGGAAAGCTAGTGAAAAATAAATGTGATAAGTTTACTCACAAAACACTGAGGAACGAATTAATTCTCTACTTAAACATAATTTGACATCTGCCCCTCGCAGGAAGCTCGTAACACGAGCGGTATCTAAATGGACGCGTTCCATTAGCGCCGCAACCTAACACCCAAACGGGAGGCAGCCTCTATCGCGCAGACTTGCGACTTGTCGCGCTGGATACTAGTCGTACATAGACTTCTGGCACGCTGCGTGGTAACACGAGCGGTGTCTAAATGGACGCGTTCCATTAGCGCCGCAACCTAACACCCGGGAGGCTGCCTTTAGTCGCGCGCAGACTTGCGACTTGTCGCAGGATATTAGTCGCACATAGACTTCTGACACGCTGCGTAGTTAGACAAGCGGTATCTACGAGAATGTAAATGGATCAGGAGAAAAGCCTCTCAAAAAATGCACAAAAAATGAGCCAGCAGTTAAGACTCCCATTTAAATGAAAACGTTCCATTAATGACGCATATTTAAATCCGGCAGTAGGCAGCCTGTAGTGAGTAGACTTGCGTTTTTGTCACAAGAAATCGTTCTTACATATCATTCTTCTGATTTTTAAACAGCATATTTATAAACAGTTGTCCAATAACTCATCCTGTATTTGTTGACGGTACAAATACACCCTTATTATGCCCATTACCGCTGCAATGGTAGACACTTCCCCAAATACTTACACGCAGTCAAAAAGCTTATTTATTGCGCGGGCAGGAAGGAGTCGGTGGCTTTACTCGGCTATTACACCCCGAACTGCAATAAAGTCCAAAATCGCCCGGCCTCGGAAGCTATGGGCTAGGGCTGTCATCCACCCGGATTGGCTCTTAATTTTGAAGTACCGGGGGCATCCGGATAGGACATTTTCTGTTGAGTTCTGGGTGCCTGTTTACATTTTATTAGGATTATCTAGACGTTTAAACTTTTATTGGTTTTCTACGTGTATTTTAGAGAGAGAAATTTTAGTGTATTAATGTTTTTACAATTGCCGAATTGTATAGTCATTTTATATTTCCTACTAGCTTTCCGCCCGCGGCTTCGCCCGCGTGGAATTTTGTCTGTCACAGAAAAACTTTATCGCGCGCGTCTCTGTTTCAAAAACCGAGATAAAAACTATCCTATGTCCTTTCCCGGGACTCAAACTATCTCTATGCCAAATTTCATCAAAATC